ATTAGCCTAGCTTAAACCACTTAAAGTCACATCAAGATCGAATCAGCTGAAACCAGTTGAAAGCTAAAATCACATCAACATCGTGTGGAATTCTGATTAACGCACACTTCTAAATCGATGAAACACAGCTAGACTCGAATTACAATCAACTGACATCTCGTCAGAATCTGTTTTGTTTTTAATCAAAGTTTTTTTGTAGAAAAAACGTATTGGAGCCAAGAAAAGCTTACGTTTAAACATCGTAAGTCGAGCCAGACTGAATGGAATGCACATTTTTCTAAATTCCTATATATATAGACTACATAAAGGCAATAAGAACCCAGGAAACCAAGGGGATCTTCAAATCTTTTTTACTTTATCATACCCCCCCGATGACTTCACAGACACCCGCAGTTCATTACTAGGTGGCCCTCAATTAAAACTAGTTCTGCCCTTTTGAAGTACCCTCCAGGATTTTGGGCCCCTGGGCTTAAGATTTGATATTATGGCAGGAGTTTCTATTAGCGGGAAAGGATTACTCGTACTAGTATGAGAAGCAATGTTCGGTTTCATGTGAGCCGGATTATTGGTATATGAATATGACAATTCGTATTGAGTATGAATACTACGATTAGTGGGGCCAATCGTATTGGTAGTAACAATCTTGATGTTAATATTAGCACGATAGTAGATAAGCATGAGTTAATGTATTAATATTGGCATGAGAAATGATATTAAACTGTTTTTGAGTAGCGAATTTTCTCCAAATTGCAAAAGAACACTAATTCTGACAATTCTGGTACACAGTTTGGAAATTATTCAAGTTGCAGGTCTTCTTTGCTCCAGAATTTTAGGATTGTTTAATTAAGCTGTTATATCTTGAAATATCTTAAACTCCGAGAGTTCTAGGATTTGGGAGACTTGCAATTTCTAGAAATTCTAAAAATCTTAAAATTCTTAAACTTCTTGAAATTTCTAAAAGATTGGAATTTAAGAATTTTAGGAGTTTTAGAAGGGAATTTAGAAATTTTCCTGATAGCGAAATTTCTAAAATTCCTAAAAAAGTTAATATTTCAGAAATTTTAGAATTTTTTCAGGAACTTTAGAAATTCTAGAAATTCCGGGTCTCCCAAATCCTAAAATTTTAGAATTTTAGGAATTCTCGACATTTTTTCTAATAGCGAAATTTCTAAAATTCCTAAAATTCCAAAATTTTAGATATTTTCAGAGTTCAAATTCGGGGTCACCCAACAAACTAGCTTCTAGCCAAAAACACATGGGTCACAGAATACATAGAGGTCCCTCGTACATAAATGTATACATGTTCGGGCTTGAGTCTCGATTGCAGCAGGAAGCAGAGCGGGCTTCCTTGCGCTGTCGCTGCCCGCCACACCAATACGAAGGTCGGGGGGACTGGGGCTCCCCGCAGTGTCACAGCTGTGGCCCGGGCTCCTACCCGAATCCTTACCTTGACAGTGGCTCACGGCCATGTCTCTCATGTGGGGCTGGAAGGTTCTCTCCTGGCAATGAATCTGAGTGCTCCTCATGCTGGTTTCTGGGTTGCCTTTCTAGGCAGGAATCAGAGGATTCCTGTAAGAAGTTCTGCATGTTTCGCTGCTACTAGCATGCTTTTTTGCGGGAGCTGCATGCCAGCGTCGGAGCTTGTCTCAGGTTTGTGATCCGTGATGATCACTGTGTCTGGTGGCCGATTCTGCTTTGGGCCATTGGCATCGTTGCAGCCATCATGCTGCTATGTGTGGCGGCCGCGTGGGCTGTTCCGAAAAATTCAGGGGCGTCCCGGGTCGTTATGACAAGTGCGTCATGCACAAGGTGTTGATTACACATGGATCGAAGTGGTCGGCCGCATGCCATTAACTGTAGCTGTGCTCTTGCTGCAGAGGTTTCTTCATCGCAAGCGCGAGAAGTTGCGCATCCGCTGGCAAGAGCGGGCCCAGGTGGATGTTTCCCAAACTTAGGGGTATTTCGGGGGGTTTCCCATACTATTCTGAGGTCTATGTAGGGTTCCGCCTATTTAGCAAAACAAAAAAGATTATACTATTCTGGGGTCTATATGGTACTTTCTTAAAATAGAGAGCCTTCATTTGGACTTCAAACTTCTGCAGTCATTGTAGTCCTTATTATAGAGCCTCCAAACGGGTACCCCTAATGCAGGGAAACCCCCATGTTGGGTTCCCTTTCTTTGAGAAACTGCCTTAGACCCTAAACCCTAAATCTCAAACCCTAGCTTGTTGTGGCTTTCGAAACCCTTGACTTTCTGAAGCGGTCACTCCTAGCTGCTGTGACTCTTGATTTTCTGACTTGTGGGAGCCCGTATTGGACAAATATCGCATCGACGGCTTTTCCGCGTCCCCAGCGTAAGCTAGCATCAGAAAAGGTGCGTGGGGTTGTCAAAAAATCTCAAACCTTAAACCCTAAACCATAAACTGTAGTAGTTTCCATTTTCTTTTCCATTATCCCCTTTTTCGTGGGATATTACCCTAAACCAGGTAAAGATGGAAGCGGAGCGGGCCAGGCTTCGCGCGGAGCTACGGGCGCAGCAGAGCCAGACTGCTGGAGTAACTTTGCTAGAGTTTAGGGTTTCGGGTTTAGGTTGTGAGAAGGGGATTAATGCAGAAAAAATATGGAAGCTGAAAACCTGTTGGGGAATATATAAGTGCCCGTTGGATCCCGATCGTATAG